TCTTGTCAAGACTCCCCGTCGCTCCAGGGACACCCTGTCCGGCCGCGCTTCACCGCAGGATCGCGGCCTCGGGCGCACGAGCGGGATGTGCTCGGAGCGATGTGGCCGAGCTCCGGCACGGAGCCGCAGGGAGCCTCGGGTTTGGATTCATTGGCATCGGTCCAGGAAACATTTGGTTTCGGTGATAGCCGATGTCATGCTTGAAGCAAATCCCCGGGAATGCGACATGTTTCCCATCCCTCCTTCCCCTCTCCGTGGACATCCGTGCTCAGAGCCGCGCTAAGGAGACCTGCTTGCCTGGAGAATGTCCTGCCAGAGAGCTGCGGGCCCCGCATTTCCACGGGGGATAAACTGCACTTCTCCTAATGGAGAATTTCCTGACGCGGGGCCGTGTTGGGGTCGAGCGGTTTGTGCTGGCGATGGTGTGGCGCCGCGCGGCAGCCCTGCTCCACCTGCGCTTGCTTTAATTCCAGAGCCTTGGGAGCGAGCTTAGCGGCTTCCCGCTTTTCCGTCAAGTTGCATCATTTAACCGCTGTGAGTTTGCAGCATTTAATCTCATATGAGTCAACTAGCACGTTTGCTTATTTATTATTGTCTGATTTATATTTATTATTGTTTTATTATTGTCTTATTTATGCTTAATTATTAGTTATTTGTCCCGCTAATATTGGTAGGTGATTTAAAATACAATTTTTGGATGGGTTCAGTCGATTGAAGTCTTGGTTCTTCAATTAATAAACTGTTTAGATGCCAATTTTAGTGCAGCCGTGTCTAAAATAACCCGTCGGGTCACTATGGTTAGGAATGAGGAACGCTGCAAGAGGGATGGCGAGCTTTAACAGCTCAGGCTGCAGGGCGAGCAAATGGAGCAGGCGGAGTTTTCCTCTCCAGCCCATCAATACATGGAGTTGGCGTTTGCAGACGATGCTGTACCGGTGATCTGGGGTAGGGCTGTGCGCGATGGTGGCCGCAGCTCTCGGCAGCGCTTTCCAACCAACCTCGCTGCAATAGAAATCCACGCAGCAATAATGAGGTGATTGACCTTCCCACTGATGCAGAAGGGCTTCTGCTGCGCGCTTTGCGCATGCAGAGCCGGTTATTGCTACGGCGTTGACTTTGCTGCTCAGCAGTGACCTTTGCTGCAAAGGAGCTGGCAGCCCCGGCAGAGCGCGCGGTGCCAGGGCAGGCAGGGAGCCGCAGCGCGGGCAGCCCCGCGCCGGGCG